AACTTCAGCTTCTTCAGCATTGCTGGTTGGGGCATAGGCTTGGATTACTGTGATATTGAATGGTTTGCCTTGGAAATGAATAGAGATCATTCTGTCATTTTTGAGATTGCATCCAAGTACTGCATTTCGGACTCTTTTGTTGACCATGATGGCTACTCCATTTCTTCTAAGGGATTCCTGCCCACAGTAGTAGATATAATGGTCATTTGAGTTAAATTCACCCATTCCAGTCCATCTTAGTTCACTGATTCCTAGAAAGTTGACGTTCACTCTTGCCATCTCCTGTTTGACCACTTCCAATCTGCCTTGATTCATGGACCTAACATCCCAGGTTCCGATGCAATATTGCTCTTTACAGCATCGGACCTTGCTTCCATCACCAGTCCCATCCACAACTGGGTATTGTTTTTGCTTTGGCTCCATCCCTTCATCCTTTCTGGAGTTATTTCTCCACTGATCTCCAGTAACATATTGGGCACCTACCAACCTGGGGAGTTCCTCTTTCAGTGTCCTATCATTTTGCCTTTTCATAATGTTCATGGGGTTCTCAAGGCAAGAATACTGAAGTGGTTTGCCATTTCCTTCTCCAGTGGACCACATTCTGTCAGACCTCTCCACCATGACCCGTCCTTCTTGGGTGGCTCCACACGGCATGGCTTAATTTCATTGAGTTAGACAAGGCTGTGGTCCTGTGATCAGATTGGCTAGTTTTCTGTGATTGTGGTTTCAGTCTGTCTGCCCTCTGATGACCTCTCGCAACACCTACTGTCTTACTTGGGTTTCTCTTACCATGAACGTGGGGGTATCTCTTCATGGCTGCTCCAGCAAAGTGCAGCCGCTGCTCCTTACGGCTACTTTACCATTATTTAGCCATTTGTCTTGAACAGATGCTCGTTGGGTTAAGCCTTTAGTCAAGAACCCTGAAATAACTGATGCTGATAATGTCTGCCAGTGTTTCTGTTTTCATGGAGGATCAGAAGATCTACAGTCCTCACTACATCATCCCAGAAGTCTTAACCCATTTATTCTCTGTGTTATCACTTAACCAGATAGATAAGGAAGAGTATCCAGAACTACAGAATTAACACCATTCTGCCAGACTGAAGGCCATAGATGCAACCAGCTGTTCAAGATGGAAGAAAAAGAAGCTGCTTTGCCCCACAGCATGGCCCAGAGCCGAGCCCACATCAAACAGTGCTGCTCCTTGTACATGTTGTTATTTCTTACTTTCATGGGTCAGTGACCTGACCCTGCCATCAACAGCCTCTAGCACTGAAGAGCGAAACCTCTGGAATGAGGTCCCTGCCTGGTTAATACCACCATCACCAATCTCACTCACAGAAGATATTTATTAAGCAGTTATCTGCCTTAGAATTCCACGGTAGGTCTCAAATGCCCTGTTGTCAAATGCAATTAAGGTTTATGGTGGTTAAAGGCTGATGCACTCAAGACGTTTAATTCTGGGGAAAAGGGAAAGTTCTTAGAAGCATGGAATCCTGAGTCTGAAAGGAAACCAAAAGATCATCACATTTCAGTTCAGTCACTCAGTCGTGTCTGACTCTTTGTGACCCCATGGACCGCAGCACGCCAGGCCTCCTTGTCAATCACCAACTCCCAGAGTCCACCCAAACCCATGTCCATTGAGTCAGTGATGTCATCCAACCATCTCTTCCTCTGTCGTCCCCTTCTCCTCCTGCCTTCAATCTCTCCCAGCATCAGGGTCTTTTCTAATGAGCCAGTTCTTCACATCAGGTGGCCAAAGTTTCACTTTGCTTCACTATCCATCTATAGCCTGATATTCCCCACAATATCCCCACCAAGTGGTTGGTTCTACCTACACTTGAATATCTCTCAGTGGTGAGCAACTCCACTTTATCATCATTTTTATCTTTAGTTGGCCACCCTGAGAATCAGAAACTTTGTTTTGCGAATGAATGCAGACACATTCAGAACTGAGAAGGTGGAGAAAGGGAGGATTGGAGACCACAGACCTTGAAGACTAACATGGATACCTGGGGCTATTTCATCTAACTTATTCATATGTCTGAAAATCAGGTGTGCCTCTCTAATGTGGATGATACTACCTCTTATCTAATACCTCAGCAGCTGAACACTTTAATTCAGGTAAAGGGCGTTGATAAGCTTAAGATGAAGCCCTGGCAAAATTCAAGGAAAGAGTACAGACAATCATGGTTAAGACCATACACAAAAATAAACTCAAAATGGATTGAAGATCTAAATGTAAGACCAGAAACTATAAAACTCCTAGAGGAGAACATAGGCAAAACACTCTCCGACATAAATCACAGCAGGATCCTCTATGACCCACATCCCATAATTTTAGAAACAAAAGCAAAAATAAACAAATGGGACCTAATGAAACTTAAAAGCTTTTGTACAACAAAGGAAACTATAAGCAAGGTGAAAAGACAGCCCCCAGATTGGGAGAAAATAATAGCAAATGAAGCAACAGACAAAGGATTAATCTCAAAAATATACAAGCAACTCCTCCAGCTCAACTCCAGAAAAATAAATGACCCAATCAAAAAATGGGCCAAAGAACTAAACAGACATTTCTCCAAGGAAGACATACAGATGGCAAAAAAACACATGAAAAGATGCTCAACATCACTCATTATCAGAGAAATGCAAATCAAAACCACAATGAGGTACCATTATACGCCAGTCAGGATGGCTGCTATCCAAAAGTCTACAAGCAATAAATGCTGGAGAGGGTGTGGAGAAAAGGGAACCCTCTTACACTGTTGGTGGGAATGCAAATTAGTACAGCCACTATGGAAAACAGTGTGGAGATTTCTTAAAAAGCTGGAAATAGAACTGCCATATGACCCAGCAATCCCACTTCTGGGCATACACACTGAGGAAACCAGATCTGAAAGAGACACGTGCACCCCAATGTTCATCGCAGCACTGTTTATAATAGTCAGGACATGGAAGCAACCTAGATGCCCATCAGCAGACGAATGGATAAGGAAGCTGTGGTACATATACACCATGGAATATTACTCAGTCATTAAAAAGAATTCATTTGAATCAGTTCTAATGAGATGGATGAAACTGGAGCCCATTATACAGAGTGAAGTAAGCCAGAAAGATAAAGACCATTACAGTATACTAACACATATATATGGAATTTAGAAAGATGGTAACGATAACCCTATATGCAAAATGGAAAAAGAGACTCAGATGTATAGAACAGACTTGTGGACTCTGGGAGAAGGCGAGGGTGGGATGTTTCAAGAGAACAGCATCGAAACATGTATATTATCTAGGGTGAAACAGATCACCAGCCCAGGTTGGATGCATGAGACAAGTGCTCGGGCCTGGTGCACTGGGAAGACCCAGAGGGATCGGGTGGAGAGGGAGGTGGGAGGGGGGATCGGGATGGGGAATACATGTAAATCCATGGCTAATTCATTTCAATGTATGACAAAAACCACTGCAATGATGTAAAGTAATTAGCCTCCAACTAATAAAAATAAATGGAAAAAAAAATAATAATGGTTAAGGCTTTAGAGTCTGACAAATCTGTGTTTGAATCCTGGCTCTGACCCTTAAAAGCTATGTGTTCTTGAGGTATTACTTAATCTCTCTGAGTTTGTTTCCTCATCTGTTAAAATGGGAAAAATGATACCACTTACCGCACACTGGTGTGGTGGGAGTTAAATAAAAAAATCTTGGCATATAGTAAATGTTATTATTGTTGAAAGACACATGGTTAGAGATCCTAGAGAAAACCTAAGCTTATAGCCAAGTCATTGGAAAAGACCCTGATGCTGGGAAAGAGGAGGAGAAGGGGATGACAGAGGATGAGATGGTTGGATGGCATCACTGACCCGATGGACATAAGTTTGAGCAGGCTCCAAGAGACAGTGAAGGACAGAGAAGCCTGGCATGCTGCAGTTCATGGGGTTGTAAAGAGTCGGACACAACTGAGCAACTGAACAACAAATAGCCAACTGGGATTTCACTAAGAATAAGTCATGTCAAACCAATCTCACATCTTTTTTTATTCTGGTTATTGAGCATGATATACTCTCATGATTTTAATCACACCACACTGGAGGGTTACATGGGCAGAGTGAATAGGGTAGAGCTGGGTGGATCTGTAAAGACACCTTTAATGGAATGCCCTGAGATTGTGTCCTTGCCCTGGTCTGGGACAACATTACCATCAATCATTTGAAAGAAGATGCTGCAAACACCTTGCGGGAAAGGTAAGCTAATATACCAGCAAAAAGACTGACACCTACCTTACCAAAGCCAAGAAAATTACATGAACTGTGGATGTTTTCTTGCGTTCAGGCAAAAAGGGAGCCAAGTTAGAAGATGAAGGATTGGCTGGAGAGCGATTCACGTAGTAAGACTCATGTAAACATCCATCCATACATTCATTCAATCACCCACCTAACAACTGCTGGAGGACCTACACCAGGCTATAAGCCCTCCTGCCGCTGAGGAATCATACAGGTAAAGACATAAAGCCCTGCTCTCAGGGAGTTCCTAGTTTGCGGGAAAAGAGATCTGGCGATGACTTGTCCTGTCTGACTCTGCAACCCCACGGACTGTAGCCCGCCAGGCTCCTCCGTCCATGGAATTTTCCAGGCAAGAGTACTGGAGTGAGGTGCCATTTCCTTCTCCAAAGATGTACTAAGAACAGCACAGTGAACAGTCACCTAACACTGTTTTACAGCAGACATACTGGGATGAGACTTGGAGGATCAGCCGGCATGTTGCCGGGTGACTTGACAGGGGAAGGAATGGTTTCCTAGGTGAACTTAAAGGAACAGGGAAGACTCCAGGGCACAGCTGGCTCTTCTGCTTAACCCTAAACAACGACTTTACATACACCTTTGGGATCTGGAAACAGCAAGATACACAGAAATGTCAGGTCTTTTGTCTCACATGCCCAGTTGCAGCACACCCCAGGCACATGTGCATCTTACTGTAGGTGATGACTAGACACATGTGCATCTTACCATAGGTGATGACTAGCAGCACAAAGTTGAGGTTTTTGAAGAGTCGGATGATGGAACTTAAGTAAGAAGCATCAGTGGACGCCAAGGCATAGCTCAGGGACTGGGCCCTGCTGGGGGGATGTTTAGGCTTCTCTTTGAATACTGAAAGGGAAAAAAAACAACAGAGAGATCATTTGCAAATCCCTTGGTCCTACTCCTGCAGAGCTGACACATGGATGAGAGTTGGCTCCCTCATCTGAGAAGGGGGCTCAGATGCCAAAAGGAAATATTAATTCTTTGATTAAATCCTCTATAACCTCCTCTCTTGAAGCTGCATCTCACTGTCTGTGGCTGAGGGGCTGGTCTTTTGATTACTTTTTCTTAATGACCTTTGGACAGCTGTGATCATTGGACTTTCCAGGCAGGGCTCAAGGATAAAGGAGTCCTGTAATAAATGGCAAATACCAAATGGCAGAGCACTGAAAAATCCCATGGTAACCAGTGGACAGAAAGGAAGTGAGAGGTTCTGGGATTAGTGAGCCCAGATGAGGACTCAGCACCAGAGCTCCTCCCAGGAAAGGGCTGGGCTGCCCATGCTGAGCACAGAGCCTGGCACATGCTGCCAATAAACAGTCCCTGAGTAAGGGAAAGGAGCTGCTTCTATTGGAGAGACCTCGAGTCCATCCCTAGTTTCTCAGAGCGTGAATCAGACATCTGCCTCCTGAGAAACCAGAGGACTAACACATGCTCCTGCAGGACGGGGCCTCTGATAGGAAGGGCCAGGGAGGGACAGTGGGAAAACCATTTTCTTTATGTTCTGATTTCAGTACAGCTGGTACAATCCATTTCACTGCACTGACGGCTGTTCAGTTCTCTGGGGGCCACATCAGTTTAACCAGTGGTCCGCTTAAATTGGTCCCCCAGCTAAAGCACCATCTTTACCCCCAGGCTCCATGAGAATGCTCCTGAAAGGTCAGGAGATGGGCTCCAGTTAGAGGAAGCTTTGGAAATGAGGTTTACTCTCTTGAACATCAAAGGTCTTCCCGCTCCACCCAGATAAAGCTCCAGCCCAGACTTCAGAGCCTTTCTTCTTCCTTTCCGGAAATAGTCCTGGCCAACTTCCCCCACCCACTGGGAACCTCTCAATCATTGTCTGACCTGTTCACCTCCGCTTCTATCAGGGGAAAGAAATCAAGGCAAGAGGTGTTTTTTTTTTTTTTTTATCTTGGCAACAATAGCTGTTTGTTCAAGGATTGGGCAAACAAAAACCACAATTTGGATAAGATTTTTCAGTTCTTTATTCAGTGAGCAATGGTCAGTGCTTACTAGTAAAATGTAAAGCGAAGAAAGATCCCAACTGCAGGATCTCTGCAAAGGACCAGGCCCTCACGTGCTACAAACACAAGAATTTGGAGCTGAGCACATAATAATTTGAAACTTCAAGGCTGTCTAAGGATGTTCTTTCCTGTTCTCAACCCAGCTTCAAAGGAACACCTTTCTCACCTTTCCAGGAACACCAGGTTCTCCGTCCAAGAGTTTCTGTGAACTCTGAAAAGCCCTTCCTCTCAGTGTGGACCCCAGGGAGGGAATAACACAGTGAGATCAGTTGGATGAGGTCCATGATCAAAAAACTGTTTGACTCTGGAGGTGAGGCTGGCAGGCGGGAAGGAAACCTTTAACGTGTATGGTGGAGTCTTCAAATATTAAATGAAAGCTGGTTAACCTTTAAAGACAATTGACTCACTGAAAATGAAAACTTCTTCTACACTCTTTATCACAGCCCATCTGATATTACTCAGATAATAAAAGATGATATAAATTATATTAACCAAACATCTCAATGATTAAATATGTATACATGGAGCAATAGTAGTTCTCTGGGATTGGTGCTTGGAATTAACTAATTCTAGGCTAAGTTAATGGTCATCCTTTTGTGTATGCTTTTTTGTATCTTCTAGGTTTTTTCATAATGAGCATTATCCTATACATCTTTTTTCAAAACATTAAAAAATGTGGCCCCAGGTATTCTCAGGTGAATATATGAGAGTTTTAGTGTTTGTGGGTCAATCCTGTTTTGTTTTATTTCAGAAATGTAGATTATGGAGTTAGAAGCTTGGGCTAGAATTCAGTCTCTGCCACTCACTATCTAATCTTGAATAATTTCCTTATCTCCTCTTAAGTCACTGTTTTCTCTCGGTTAAGAGACACTGATACTAGGAACTCCCCCTGGAGTCAATGAGATCAGGTACACTCAGCACAGGGCCTGTGATGTCGTAAGTGCTCAGCAGAGTTGCATCAAGAGGATCAAGGCTGCCCATTAATTCTAATAAGGTCATACTGAGAAACTGGTAATTAGAACTAACTTTGACTGAGCAGCTCACAAAGCACCCAGGACCAGTTAACATTGTATGGGCAGCAACTACTCTGGCTAAAACATTTGAAGACCATTGGAAGCTTGGCTTCCAGTTTCTATAGACATGTTTTATAAAATACATTATACCTAGAATGGTGTTCTAGGGCCATATTCACAAGGTTCTCACCCAAGTCAGCAGGACCTCCCTGCCTCCCCGACCCCCACGGGTCTATTAATGACCTTACCGATGATGACAAGGATGAAAAGCAGAGTGGCCACACCTGCTATTATGTAGAACATGATGCTGATGTGGTAGGCAAGCTTGTCCTGGTCTTTGATGTTGGGTACCAAGACAGGAGGGACCAAGAACCCAATGGCAATTCCAAGCTATAGAAGACAGAGACAATCAATTGTAGTATCAATAGCCAAGAGGCACACATTTAAGAGACTCCTAATAAGAAACAATCCTCAACTTCCAGTCCTTATAACCCAAACAGGGGTGGTTTCCCCACTCAAGACACCAGAGATCTTTCTTTTGATTGACAGCTCAACTCATACATACCCTTGACCACTATCATTATCAGTGGTGGTTTAGTTGCCAAGTCGTGTCCAACTCTTGGAATCTCATGGACTGTAACCTGCCAGGCTCCTTTGTCCATGGGATTCTCCAAGCAAGAATACTGGAGTGGGTTGCCTTTTCCTTCTCCAGGGGATCTTCCTGGCCCAAGAATCGAAACTGGGTCTCCTGCATTGCAGGCAGATTCTTTACTGACTGAGCTATGAGGGAACCATTGAAAAAGATTATAGCTGGGCTCTCATTGCAGGCCATTTTTTTTTTCCTAACAACAAATTAATTAAGAAGAATTTTTTATACTCCCATCTCTATGGTAAAGTAAAACAATGCTAGTTTTGCTTTTTGTTTCCAGTTAAATTCTTGATTTCACTGAATCTGTTAACCTGTAGCTGAAAGACCAGCTGAGGGATAAATTCTATACACTACAACCCCAAGAACTTGTATTCAGTGAGAGATGGAAGCCAAACATTGTGACGACACTGACAAATGTAAATGCTTCAGTTCACTCTGTAACTTTGTCATTTAGAAAGCATCTGTGGTGCTTGCTTCGGCAGCACATATACTAAAATTGGAATGATACAGAGAAGATTAGCGTGGCCCCTGCCCAAGGATGATATGCAAATTCATGAAGCGTTCCATATTTTTAGGACATGGAAGCAACCTAGACGCCCATCAGCAGACAAATGGTTAAGAAAGCTGTGGTACATATACACAATGGAATATTACTCAACCATTAAAAATATACAGTTCTAATGAGGTGGATAAAACTGGAGCCCATTATACAGAGTGAAGTAAGCCAGAAAGATAAATACCAATACAGTATACTAACGCATATATATGGAATTTAGAAAGATGGTAACGATAACCCTATGTGCAAAACAGAAAAAGAGACACAGATGTATAGAACAGACTTTTGGACTCTATGGGAGAAGGCGAGGGTGGGATGATCTGAGAGAACAGCATTGAAACATGTATATTATCAAGTGTGAAGCAGATCGCCAATCCAGGTTGGATACATGAGACAAGTGCTCGGGGCTGGTGCACTGGGAAGACCCAGAGGGATGGGATGGGGAGGCAGGTGGGAGGGGGGTTCAGGATGGGGAACACATGTAAATCCTTGGCTGATTCATGTCAATGAATGGCAAAAACCACTACAATATTGTAAAGTAATTAGCCTCCAACTAATAAAAATAAATGGAAAAAAAAAAAAGAAAGCATCTGTGGTGTGAATTCACACAACTGCATAAATTTATATACACAGGACATAGGCACATGCAAACTGGCTATAAACACACACACACACACACTCACATACCCCAACAAATTGAAACATCTCATATCAGCGCTGCAGTTCTAACTTCAGGGACTTAACAGTTGGGTATTTCTGACAGCAGAAACACCATGATTCAGGAGTGACTAGCTGTGATACAACGCCCCAAACCCTTCTGCCACATGAAATACCAAGGAGGAAACTGGAACATAGCCTGAAAACTCATGCAAGATTCAAATTCTAGAATTGAGAGAAGCTAACTCTTTTGTGTTAAGGTACCACTTCTCCTTTATTGAATTTGACAGCAACAGCAGGTAGAGAAGCAATTTGCTTTCAGGACAGTTATAACATCATTAGCTGCCAATGCGCTCATCATCCCAATTGGTTTTCTAGCCGGTCAATTACAGCCACTCAAGGTAGTCACTAGTGATTTTTAGCTCTGAAATAGTCTCAAAAGTCACCATCAACAGGTTCAGAGTAGCATTCTTCCAGTATATACTGTATACAATCAACAAGTCAAACTGATCTTTAAAGCATCTGCTTTTTGAAATGTATTCTGCTAGATTTCTGAGGGAGTACAGAGATGTATATGGCAGAGTACTTCAAGGAGCTTTATAATCTAGTGGGGGCAGGGAGAATGAAAAGAAAGATACAAAAGGTAACACAAATGGAGATATTTGTGGTTTGAAATGATTGAACAATAGTTTGAGTGCCTTTATCATCCTTTCTTAGAAACCCATTATTAGAGGACCAAATAGAGGTTTAGTGACTTGTTCAGGGTCACACAGAGTTGAGAAACCAGATCTCCTGGTATCTCTAAGAAGTGTCTCCTTCATGGGGCCTAGATTGCCCTTCAGGGCTAAAAGTCATGAGAAAAGGCTCCTCCGTGAGAGAAGGTATTTCATGTCCTGAGAGCTTTATCTGATCCTCACTTACATTAATCTATCAGAATTGAGTCCTGCTGGTCTCCAAGGTGTTGAGGGTAAAAACCAGCCAAAGATAGAGGGGCAATGTACCCTTCACAGCTGGGAAGCTGGGCCACTGCACATCCTCTCTGGTTTCCTAAGCACTTTGAAGTTGCAGATCTAGCAGTTAAACAGGATGCCAGAGGGTCCCTTTTGCACGAATGAGGGAAAACATGGGACATCACTCAAGGTTCTGGGATTCTGTCATTCTCAAAGGACCCTGATGGAGGGGGACCTAATGCCCAGTGATCTTCTGCCTCGAGAGGGAGGTCCTCCCAGCTGGGTCCACGCTGCACACTTGAGCCCTCAGAGGCCCCACTCCATCCTCTGTCCACACTCCATCCACACTCTAAGCCTGAATGAGTGCTTTTCCAGCCTCAGGATGGGGGCAATCAGCTTAAGGGCCTGAGGCAGCCCTGGCCAGGTGGCAAGGCTGTCCCACAGGGACCATTCTCCAGGAGGATATTGGATTTGGCGGTACTTTCGTGCCCCGCGTGAAAATTAAAACACAGGGATTGCACTACAAGCTGCTGCCACTTCTGTTTTTCAGAACGTATTTTTTCCAGCTTCCTGAAAGCCGTGCTCAGCAAGTGTGCAGAGCTCTACACCCAGCTCCTAGATCCCGAGTCTGTCCCTTAGCAGGAACTCAGTCATGTTGGCTGGCTGGGTGGATGGACAAATGGATATTGGTAGAAGGTCTTATCTACACCAAGCTGATAGAATCACACAGGTCTTCCCACTAATGACCATGTTCTTTCTACAAACCATGCTGTACTTCCAGGTAAGGGAAGAAAATGGGTGCGGAATTCAGGGGTGGGGAAGGGATAGGATGCCAACTAGCTTTTAAGCATCTACTAGGCATGGGGCATGTAATACAGCTTATATTTTTTCACTTAGTCCACGAGCTCTTAGAACAAAGACTAAAATGAGAAAAACTGGTCAGTACCCAGCCAACGTCACACTGGCTGGTAGCATAAGAGTTGGGCTCCCAAACCAGTTCTGTCTGACTCTGGGCCCCAGCTCATCTCCTGCCTCCCAGGAAATGTTGCTGGTGTGACATCAGTCGACACAGAAGCCTATATTTTCACTCCTTTGAGTTCTGTCACACATTCGATAGGACACCACCAGGGTAAAAACCAGAGACCTGCAGCCCAAGTGAGGCCAAGAAAAATGTGAAGAGTTGAGAGAACACTGCTCCCAAGGGTAGGAGCCTCATCCTTTCCACGCTCACAAAGAAAGCAAAGACCCACACCATGAATGTAAAGGATTAAAAATAACTGCTTAAAAAAAAAAAAAAAATCACTGCTAACTGGTTCTGACTTGCCCTTTGCCCCAGCATTTGTTCTAGTTTTATCCTCCTCAACCAAATAGTCATGGGCAAAGTACACAACACACAGACAAACCCAGTCACAGTCTCCACCCTTCAGAGCCCAGGAGCCTAAATACAATGGTGCAGTTTGCCCCAAAAGAAGACGTATAATCCAAATGGGGGTGAATGAAGGGTGGAATGCAGACTGGGAAGATACTCTATTTTTATCTTTGATTTGATTTCGCCCTTTCTGCTAACGCAAGGATGACATCTAAACACTGTTGCAAGAGCTGTGATCATGAGCATTTGCAGAGCACATGTCCCAGTTAAAAACACGCCTGTGCAGCCTGAGGGCTTCGGGTGACAGGAGGAAGCCATACTTGCGTCATGCATCACTTGTCATTCTGGCTCACACACTTGGCAGAGCAAAAATTAATCCAGAAACCACGAGGCTGCATCTGGGGTAAGATGTCCACACTTAACCCACTACACAGCACAGCACAACACGTGTTATGTTTGCTCAGAGACCCACAGAACCACTGTCCCATCACCATCCACACAGGGCACTCAGAAAAGCCCCAAGTCAGACTGAATCAGAACCCAGGCTCAAAGCCGCCCCCCAAAGCTACCTGGTCATGAACATGCCCAGACCATCCGAGGAAGACCCTGGGGCTTTGGCAACAGGCAGGGGGCTCTGTGTCAACACCATGGTGAGGGTTCAGTCCTACTGGAACCAGGACAGACCACTGGTCCCCATCTGAACTCTCTGCCAGGGTTGCAGGCACCTCATCCTCCAGACCCAGGTACTGGCCAGGAGGGGGCCGCTCCTCTTGGTAGGAGGCAACCGCGTCAGCAAGCAGGTTCTCACCCACCGAACCTCATTCCTCCTCGGCCCATTCTTCCCCCAGGCAGATCGGCTGATCAGAGAAAACCGGGCCCACTCTCAGCCCCACGGCTAGGCCCCCACTGCCTCATTCCTCCCCTTTGGCCACAGTCACCAGATAAGGACAGCATATCTCTTGGATTTCAGGGCTCCCAAGAGCCGGCTCCCTAGGACCAAGGATCAGAAATGTCCCCTTACTGGGTCAGCAGTTTCCCTGAAACAGAAGCCCCGGGCTTGAAGGCTCCCATCCAACTTGGTCTCCTTATGTCCTCACCAGGAATCACCTTGCTCCTCAAGGAGCTCACACCCATGAGGTTCATTTTAAGAGTGAACATTGTTCATTTCAAAGCAAACCTCTCCCCGTTCCTCCTTTCTACCCCAATATC